GAAGACACTGAAATTGGCTGATGTCCTAATTTAAATAATATATATATATATATATAAATAAACAGGAAACATGGGATAAACCCACTCTACTTATGTTTAAGAGAGAGAAATGAGTGTGAAACAGGCAATAGATAAACATATCTACTTCTATCTAATTTACTAAAGCAAAATGTATAGAAAGTGCACTGATTTCTGAATCTACCTTGATAAATTTGTGTTCCAGTTCTTGCAGTATTTTGCCTTTATATATATATATATATATATATATATATATATATGTACATATAAAATAATAATTAAAGACAATTCTTAAAAATCCATTTCAGTTATAATTTATTTCATGAATATATTTATTTAAATATTCATCTCTTCAGAATTAAGGTTTTTTTTTTAGAAATGAAATTGTTTTATCCAGACAAAAGGAAAAGAGAAAGGAAAAAAGAAAGGAAAACAGAAAACATTTTATAATAAAATAGGAAGAAAGAAAAATAAAATTTTCAATTTTTTTTTTTTAAATTTTAGGAAATGAAATAAAGAAGAAGTAAATTATCCTTATCAATTGTTATTATTTACACTATATATATATATATATATATACACATATAACTGAGAGAAAGAACAGATGGAGAAAAAATCCACAGTTCGTAGCATTTACTTTTTTAAAAAGTGCTTAATACAAAGATGGGCAAAATATCTTTATAATATTTTTACTATAATAAGTTACAATAAAACCTTTTACATTGCGACACAAAAACCTTCACATTTCAAGACTAAGATGTTAATTCTTCAAGTGATGGTAGATAACTTGTGATAAAAATAATTTATTAGGGAAAGTTAAAAACAAATCTTTATCTTTTTTCGTATGGTACAAAAAAAGCTAATGATTTGTTTTTATTGTAATTTATTATGATAAAAATATAATAAAATATATATATGGCCTGACTCGTGGCCTGACGATTGTGTCTCGCATGAAACAGCTTGTCGCCTCTAAGTGTTGACTTCAATGTTCACTTTTATATTTACTCATGCTCTATCTCTGATATTGAGCACTTTATCCCATAAATATAGCACACCTTAAGACTATATTTCTTCATATATATATATATATATATATATATATATATATATATATATGTATATTGATGAAATTAATTAATAAAGCAAGAGATATGACACCAATGCTTCAACAGCAAAGGCAGCAGCATCAGTAAGAAAGACTTGCTATGGTGAATGCATTCAAGCAACTGCAACAGTGTCAGCTACAGGCAAGATAGAAATAAATTAGTTTTAAGGTTCTAAGATCTTGGCACAATAATGGTCTCAAGTGTTTGTTCATGAATTTGGTGATATAGTAATTGTGAGTTCAATCTCTGTGCTGAGATAGTACAGACTTAGTGAAACAGTGCAAGGAATAACTGAGTAGTAGTAAATAAGGAGATGATGTCATATCCCGAGATAATGGCTGCTGAGCAATAAACAATCTACCCTCATATATTAAAATAAAGGATTCAGTTTGAAATTCCCTAAAGGTTACACTCTTTTGATAAAGACCTGATAAAATCTCAAGGGGACAACAACTCTTTTGATAAAGACCTGATAAAATCTAAAGGGGACAACCACTGAAACGTGATAATATCAAAGATGAGGACAATAGTCCAGATTTAAATAATATAAATTCCTCATCACAGAAATTCAAACTGAAATATTCTTCTTATTCCATATATTTATTAGATTAGTATCCGCATTTTGCCCTTTGTGTATGGAGATGAAGTTTTCTCTTATTCCATAATTTGTTAGATGTCTAAATATATTTTTTGAAGTCGTCAGATGAAGCATTGTTATTTTTTTCAGAAATTCTGTTGACAACTTCCATATATATATATAATTATTTTTTTTTATCTTAGTCTTCTGGATAAACTAACAAATACGTCTGAATGAATTATGGAATTCTTTTTTTTTTATTTTTACTTTAGGAATATTCAAGTCTCTTGTACCCTCTGACCTTTCTACAATAATTTTTTTTTTTTTTTACCTACACTAATGTTTTGAGAATGTCAAATGGAACATAATTTTTGATATACAGAATTACTAAGTGTCTGTTTCAAGGAATTTTTCTCAGCTGTGTTAAATTTTGATATTTGGGAATTGCCAAACTTATAAACAGGAATATTTATTCATTCCATTCCTATACAATAATAATAAAATAATTGTATTCTGGCACATAATTATTTTATTTTCTACTCAGAGGGCCAGAGGAAAGTAATGGGCAACCTCCCTGGTGAGCTTCAGTGTATGGATGGCAACACAAGGTTTTGGAGAGATGGCAAAAAGACAAAAGTTATTAACAGCTACAAAAGACAGGAAATTGTGGAGAGCCATAACTGCCAATATTCTGAAGGAACATGGCACATAGAAGAGGAAGTCTTTAGTATAATTTAAAATCTAACTTTTGCCACCTATCCAATAATTGTTAGAATAACATTAAACAAGAAATACCTAACTCTACTACTCATTGATCAACATATATAAATAGTTGATCACCAATACACATGGCCTAAAAATTGCAAACTTGAAACAGATTATCACCACTCAGTGTTGACTTCAGTATCCATTCTTATATATATATATATATATATATATATATATATATATATATATATATGAACACTCGTGTCCTATTTTTATGTACAAGGGTTAAGGAGCTCAGTTCCTAGGAACCGACAGCCCAGACATCAGTACATATAATTTGATTATAGTGGTGAAGGCTTTTTCCAGAACCAACCACACTTTTTGAAGGGCTGAATACAGAGATCTGGTGGATTACATGCCACAAGGTCCCCAAACCACCCTCCATACGTTTTGAATACAGAGTTGTCCTTCTCCTAGACCAGTAGCCAACCAGGGCTATAGAACCCACTCTGTCCTGCTATTATATATATATATATATATATATATATATATATACCTTATTTTAGGATATTACATTTAAAACATGTCAAAATCACTACACAATTACAGTTATGTTTCGATGCACATACAATGCCTCTCATGTGCATTGAAACGCAGCTGCAATTGTGTAGCAATTTTGACATGTTTTCTATGTAATATCCTGAAATAAAGACTATTTCTCCACTTTGTATTGATCCCTCTTTTAAATCAAATATTACAAATGTTAGACTTGTACTCTGATCTAGAACCTGGATATATATATATATATATATATATATATATATGCATGTGTGTGTCTGATTATATGCTTTGTGTATATAGCTATATATATATATATATATATATATATATATATATATATAAAAAATTTTCCCATTTAATCAGTAGAAAGACAATATTTATGAATAAAAAATGACAATAGGAAAACTGGTAATTGCTGGCAAAATTTTGTCATTTTGGACTTTGATAAAGTCCAATTTTGTACAAAACGCGCCAGCAAAATTACCAGTTTTCCTATTGTCATTTTTATTATATATATATATATATATATATATATATATATATATATATATATATAAAAAAAAAGAACAGTAAGATATATAAATATTATCCAGTGTTCTTATCGATATTTTTATTTTTTACAAAACAGTGCTCAATGTAAATTTACAGAGCATAAATATTAGAAATTAACTGATTTAAAATATGGTTTCTTCACTACACAGGAATTATCATGTTTCAAAAACCCAAACTAAAAAATTCAAATTTAATTATATAATTAAATTAAAAGCATTAGTTCTGTTTCATCTTCAAGTGAATTTTGGAATATATATATATATATATATATATATATATATATATATATATATATATACACACACACAATCATGGAAATGATTCCATAAGCTCTACACAACCAAATACCTTGTTCACTCTAATCCATGTCAATTTACTTTGACGAGAGCATATGACTGTGTAAACGACATACATTCAGTCAATGATGTTTGAAAAGAAACTAAAGTCCAACAGGAATATAAAAACAGCAATGTTGCACAGATTAAGTGTTTTGCCAATCATGCAGGTAAAAAGAAAACAATCAAAATAGTCCTCCTGAACAGTAAAAACAGACAATAATCAATGAGGGCGAACTGTTGTGGTAGTCAATGCATGCAAGATTATCCAAACATCCATCTAACTAAGGTCCATTTAGTAAGGCAATGGCCACATTCTGAAAAGCCATTGAACATTTTAATAGGAAAGAAATGGACAAGCCCAAGCTTGCATGATAGAATAATAATGGACAGACAAGCAGAATTAGAGCATTTGGAAAATGGAAGGAAATAATTTGAATTTAAGAAAGAAAAAAAATCTCATAATCACCACAATAACGACATTACTCACCTTATAACCAAAGAATCCTTTCATCTTTTCAAAAGGAGTTAAAGAAAAGGACAAGACTTAAGGCGATATAAGATGACAGTCAGTGTTAAATTTAAATTTTTGAAGATCATGTTTAACAGGAAACAAAAGAGGAAAAAAAGAAGCCCGGAGAGAGTTTCACAAGTGAAAAGTGCAAGAAAATAAACTGTTAGTATCAAACTCATAGTTTCATCTTGCAATTTCAGCAATAAAATAAAGATACTTAACTACCAATCTACTAATTCAAATGTTCAAAATTTCCACATATAAACAGTGTTTCTAGTAGGACTTATATCAGTAAATCTTCATAATCTCAAAAAAATTCTTCCAAAATAAAATTATCTTCTGGCTTGAAATAACCTAAAATGGTTGATAAGTCATAAAAACAAATTAATCAGTCCTGAGATGTTGCTTCTCTGACCACTATAATCTTAACTTCTTAAAGTCTCAGATCAACTGTTATTTCATTCAGTAACCCTATACCTTGAGTGGCTCTTGGGACTTGTATTGAATGGGCAACAGTAAAAAAAGAAAAAAAGTGTTTGTTAAGATTAAAAAAACAAAAATCTTTTATATCTGTTATCAGCACAATTGTATAGTTTTGTCTTTATTTTTGTAACTTCTCATTTTTCCAGACCCCACTTGGTCAGATGAATTTACGAGATGCAAGGCTAGAAGAAATCGAACATCCAGATGAATCTGATGAGGATTCTTCTATTTTGGTCGTACGAAAACATGTTATAGCGATATGGCTACCTCTACAAGGTCCGACCTACCTCATTATACCAACTAAACAAGAAAAGGTATGTAGCATTTTCATTACTTCTGCAAGAGGTTTTTTTTATTTTTCAGTACATGAGGTGTGGTTATGAAACAATTAGATGAGGTGCATGTGAGTGTGCATGCAACAAGTATAAACACCCCTTGAATATTTCAATTCATTTATGTCTTTAAAATGACTAGTTCATGAAATGGAGCAAGGCATCAATTTGAAATTTTTTATGAAAGTGAGTGAAATTGTAGTTGAATTAGCATATTTAAACCGAAAATACTGATGACACTTTTGAAAATGAGTAAGTTAAATGAGTCTGTATCAAGAGATGTATCACAATGAAGATGTCAGTGAATCAAAAAGTTCAGAGATTCTTTCTGTTTTCCCATTGGTTAAAAAGTGTATTGAGTTTGTTTCTGCTTGCTTATTGGTTGAAAAGTGGATCAAAAATGTTTCTGTTTTCCTATTGGTCAAAAAATACAATCAGATTGTTTCTGCTTGCTTATTGGTCAGTGTTTAAGACATTATTCATGCTGTGATTTGATTTGCATAATTCTGCACTTGTTACAGTACATTGTTGATTATCCATACCTCGTTTTTCCAGAATTCAATTATACAGACGTAAAATGAAGAGAAAAAGTGAAATCATCTGAACATTTTTCAATTATCTGAACTAAACCCATTTTAATATTTCATCTCAGACAAGTTTCTTTGAGAATTTAGAAAATTGTACTCAATGTTTGATAAATGTAGCTGATAAAATAAGTTCTATTAATTCTTGTTAATTTCCTTCTTGTTTCCATATAATGAACAGGCAAATAAATCCATTTTAATCCCGCTTTAATAAATCCATTTTTAATCCCGCTTTAATAAATCCATTTTTAATCCCGCTATAATAAATCCATTTTAATCCCGCTTTAATAAATCCATTTTTAATCCCGCTTTAATAAATCCATTTTAATCCCACTTTAATAAATCCATTTTTAATCCCGCTTTAATAAATCCATTTTAATCCTGCTTTAATAAATCCATTTTTAATCCCGCTTTAATAAATCCATTTTAATCTCGTTTTAATAAATCCATTTTTAATCCCACTTTAATAAATCCATTTTTAATCCCGCTTTAATAAATCCATTTTTAATCCCGCTTTAATAAATCCATTTTTAATCCCGCTTTAATAAATCCATTTTAATCCCACTTTAATAAATCCATTTTTAATCCCACTTTAATAAATCCATTTTTAATCCCGCTTTAATAAATCCATTTTAATCCCGCTTTGGCAGTTAATATCAGAAAAATGTGAGGCCAACAAGAAGCTGACAAATATTGATGTATTTTTTTTTTCATAAAAATTAAACTGATCAAAAGTTTGAACAAAATATTTGAAAATGATATTTGATGATATAAATGTTAATTTTCTTTCAGAAAATTACTGTTTCTTTATTCTTTTTTGATAATTGAGATACTAAAATTTTGAATTATCCAAAGATATTTTTTCAACACCTGTCTCAAGGTGTCTGGATAATTGAGAAGTTACTGTACTTAATATCCACACATTGTATATTTATACTTCCATGAATGTGTACTAAACAGTTATAGTTTTTTCTCAGTGAATGCTTTCTCTATCTGTCTATATTTCTGAGATGAGGTATTATGTACATTATTTACATTATTCGGACTATTGTCCTCATATTTGTCACCATATTCATTACAACGTTTTGGCCTTTCAGTATCGGTCTATATTTCTGAGATGAGGTATTATGTACATTATTTACATTATTTGGACTATTGTCCTCATTTTTGTCGCCATATTCATTACAATGTTTTGGCCTTTCAGTATCTGTCTATATTTCTGAGATGAGGTATTGTGTACATTATTTACATTATTCGGACTATTGTCCTCATTTTTGTCGCCATATTCATTACAACATTTCGGCCTTTCAGTATCTGTCTATATTTCTGAGATGAGGTATTATGTACATTATTCGGACTATTGTCCTCATCTTTGTCGCCATATTTATTACGACGTTTCTGTCGTTGTACGCTCCGGTCTTCTTCAGGTGGTTGGAATGTCGAACTGAACCCTTTATTTCGCTCACTGGGATAGACCAATGCCTTTAACCACTGTGCCATGTGTCCTTGAGGATAAAGGCGTTGGTTAGATCCAGTGACAGGACCCAAAGAGTGTGAGTTTAATACCCGGTTAAGGCAGTGGAGAACTTTCAGAGGGAAAATTAACAGGAGCTAACTGATAACTGACATCCATTAAGCATGGCACGTGGAACTAGAACAGTCTACCCCAGTGAGTGAAATAAAGGGTTCAGTTCAACATTCCAACCATCTGAAGAAGGCCTGAGCGTACAATGGCTGAAACGTAATAAATATGGCGACAAAGATGAGGACAATAGTCCGAACAATGTAAAGAATTCTTTCTCATTTTATTTTTACTTTTTCAAAGATCTATTTGAACTGTTACAAATAATTAAATCTGTCTGGAAAGGATGTTAGAAAAATCCAGAATTTATGCTGAGGGCAAATTGTCTGCATATTAAGAGAAAATGAATTGGTTGGGTACACAAAAATAAAAAGGGGGCATAAAGACGAGTTTACTTATCAGAATTATTGAACCCCTAGCACAAAAAAAGAACTAGAGGCCCTAGCAGAATTTATTACCTGACAGGTACAAAAGTCTAAATATTTGGGAAATGTTTGAACAGAGGAAGGAAAATACGACACCAAAATTTGAAAATACATTAGAATATCAAAAGATGAATTCCAAAAACTAAGCAAAGTAATAAGAAACAGAAAAATCTTTAATAAACAAAGAAAACAGTGCTGAAATCCTACATAATGTCAATCATTTCATATGGCAGCAAATGCTGAACAATCTCACCACCGATGAAGAGATGACTGGTGGCAAGGCATATGTGGTGCTACAGAAGGATGATGAGAATTACATAGACCAAACATGTAAGCAATGGTGAATTTTAAGAAAAAATGCAAACAAAAAGGACAATGATAGTTGAAATTTGAGGAAAGTGGGCTAGGGAAATTTGATACTCACAGGACACATTGAAGTCAAGAGGGAGAGAGAAAACAATGCATAACTCACCTAGTGAGCATGAGTAAATGGATATCAGAACATAGTTTAAGAGTGATAAGAAAAAGACATAATTTATTACGAGCTACAAAAGGCAGGAAATTGTGGAGAGCCATGATCACTAATGTCTCGAAGGTACATGGCATATAGAAGATGAAATTTATCTCAATGAATTGATTGAATATTTTAATGATGAGAATTGTTAACTGATATGAATAAGAAAAGTGTTATTTTTTTAGAATATTTTCAATGCTATGAAAAATCCTTTTTCTGAGCAGGTGAGTATGTGATATAGATTATTCTTAAATTAAGTAGGAACATTTTGACAAAAATTGTGAAAAATTTTATTTCTATCAGAAATAAAATTGTCTAGTGCATAACCAAAGAACATAAGTGTAATCTCAATAGACAAATAAATAAGTCCATATCCCAAAGGAAAACAAAGAGAATGAATGAAAGAAAAATGCGATATAAAGGAAGGAATGAATAAGTGAATAATACAAGGAAAAAAACGTCAATGAGAAAAAAAATATTGTCTTCATTTACATTTGATTACAGGAAAAAAAGAATTCTGATTGAGTGGTTTTATTTGTTTTTTTGGTTGTCTGAACAAAAAATGTCTGTGATGACAGTTTAATACAACAAAAAGTAAATTTTATTTTGATTGGTTAAATTCTTTTGGTGCATGCTTGGTCAATTTAAAAAAAATAAGATGACTCCAAAAAAAAAAAATGATTGATAAAAGACAATTTGGTGAAACTGAAATGCCTAATACTGTTTAGGTAATTGTTTGACAGATAAATTCTGCCTCAACTGTTTTCTGAATTTTGATTGGTTGTATAGTTACAGAGATTCTGATTGGTTAAGAATTTTCATTACTTCTTTAATTTTGATTGACTTGTTTTTTTTTTTTTAAAAAAAAAAGTAAAAACCGTTTGAAAAATAGAAATATATTTGAATTACATTCACCTGAGTACAAAATAGCTGAATAGATCCTGCACATTGATTGGTTTAATAATGCTTTGCATTCTGATTGTTTGATTTTTTTTGGGTTTTTTTTCTTAGCATTTTCATTGGTTGAAGTGATTACTACATTATGATTAGTTGAACTCTTTCTTGTATTCTGTTTTGTTGAACATTTTTTAACATTATGGTTAGTTAACTTCTTTCTGGAAGTTTTATTGATTGAACTGATTTGTATGTTTAAACTGAATCATTTTTTTGTTGATTTTTAAACATTTTCATTGAATTATCAGTTTGAAAAAAATAGACATCATTTCGTTGATTTAACTTGTTTTTTAGTTTATGCTGGCTAAGCTGGTACTTTATTCCCAGCATATAACTCAGTAGAAAACCTCTCAATGGAAGAGCAGCCTGTTGATTTTTATCATGTTAATTCATGAAGAAATATAAAATGTTTGATTTCAAAATAGAAGCAGATTGATTTCTTTAAAATAATATTTCCCTTTTTTTTTTTTTTAATAATTTCACCCCAAGCAAGGCAATAAAGCCTCTAAGACACAAGGGGTTACTGTATGAGAAATAACAAGAAAAAGCAAAACATTGTCAAGAAGCGAGAATATTAAAAGATAAATCTGTCTATATTTCTATATTGTATTATATACATTGTGTACATTATTCAGACTATTGTCCTCTTTGTTGTCATATTTATTACAACGTTTCGGCCGTTGTATGCTCCGGCCTTCTTCAGAGGGAAATTAACAGGAGATAACTGAAAACTGACATCCATTAAACATGGCACGTGGAACTAGAACAGTCTACCCCACTGAACGAAATAAAGTTTTCGGTTCGACATTCCAACTATCTGAAGAAGGTCGGAGCATACAACTGCTGAAACGTTGTAATAAATATGGTGACAAAGATGAGGAAAATAGTCCGAATAATGTAAATAATGTATATTAAAAGATAAAGATTGACATTGCCTTTAAATTTTGGAAGATCAAAGTTTGCTGGCAAGCAAGAATTTGGAAGACAGTTCCACAAGCAAGAATTGTGATAGAAAAAACTATTAGTAAAGAACTTATGGTTACATCCAACCAATTCCACTGTAAAATGATGGGACCTTGTTGCCATATCAGAGATGAAAGCTTATCGGAACTGTTGTCATGAAAGTATTTTTAAAAAAAAGACACAGAAAAGCTAGATTACTGCATTGGGAAAGTGACTGAAGCCAGGATGCCAGCTCAGGATCAATAATATTGCAGATTCTTCTTTGTATTTTATCACGAATCTAAATATATAGCAGGAGCATCAGACTGTATGTGGCAGCAATTTGAAATAAGTAAAAGACAAATTTTAAACAAATGATGAACAGTTCTTACATCACAAGCTGACCACTAGTTTGATTTTCCCATGAGCTTCATTCTTTAGTTTTATTACTTATCTTTACAGCTCATATATATAGGGTTACCATGAAATCAAATCATCCTCATTTTCCCCATATTCAAAATGTGAAGAGAAAGTTCTAATCAAACAGTATTTTCTAATAATTGCAACTCTGTGGAACGGACTCTCACATGGATTCTTTACTGAACATAAAAGTTTTAACCTTTTCAAGTCAAAGACTGCTCGTATCTGTTTAAATATTCATAATCTTCACTTGCTGCTGCTACAACATTTTTCTCTCATATCACACTTCGTTCTTTATTAGCATTTTAAAAAACGCTCTACTTTGGGTGGCTCTCGAGCCTCGTATTAGAACTTTATTTTAAAAGAAAAAAATATATGTCAGATGATATTTTAAAATAATATATTTATCCAATCTTTGTTACCATTTCTTTTTCAGGACTCTTGGTTATATCATCTGACGGTAGCTGCTGGCGGAGGAACTGGAAATGTTGGAACCGAATATGAACAGTTGGTTGCAAAAGTAATGGAAGTCGGTGGAAATTTAAGTAAGTAATGTTTGTGTGAATTGTGTCATAGATATTGGCATATATGTGTCTCTTCTCTCCCAAACTATTGGTTAAATAACAAGGTAGACTTTGCTTTCTAGCCTTGGGTGGCAACCATTTTAAATGAAAGAAAACTCTGAATTCCAAACAGGGAAGAAGGCAACGGGAAACCACTCCACTGCCATTTGTTAATTCAATGTAATTCCCCTATAATAAAGGAAAAGAAAGGAAATTGTGGTATCATTTTCATCATTATTGTTTGGTATCTACTTTACTAGGTTTAGAGACCTAGCTACCTAATATGAGGTACTCTGGATATGAGGGATTCTACTTTGTTAAAAATTAAAAAAAAAATTTTAATTCGATTAAATCATTATGCCTTTTAATTCTTTGGGGAACATAGGGCCACAAGAACATCTCTCCAAAGAATGTGCTTCTGAGTGATCCTCTTCAGCTTGGTCCATGTCATACTGGCTGCCTTTCGCTTTGGAGGACTCTTCCTTGGCCATTTTGTCATTTGAAGATTTTCTGTAACAAGCTAGTTTTTAAGTGAGTAGGTTGTTAGCGTCTGCACAACCCCCAACCTGGAGGACCAGGGTATGTCTTTTATCTGGCTTCTACTCCACTGACCTGTTGAGCTGACCTGCTTAAGACTAAAGCCCCCGCCCACATAGCTCAGGGGGTTGTTGAAGCATGCAAGCTGTTCTACTGCATCAAGGTGACACACCATCATGACGGGTGCAGCAATATAACTACCTTATATCCTTACTGAACATGGTATTTAAAAATATATTGATATAAAAGATATTAACAATTATCAGTATGATGTAGACATTCTGGTGAATACAATTATGGAAATATTATTTCATTTATTGAAGTATCTACTGATGTAGAGAAATTGGAATCTGAGAGACATCTTTCTGCTTCTCATTAGCATGGCTGATGCTAACCTCCAAGAGAGTGATTTGTTGCACTTTCTTGGGTTAATGTTCTCTGCTGACATGAAGTGGAAAGATTATATTGAATCAATTGCTAGATCTGCTTCTAGGAAAATTGGTTCACAGTGTTGTGCTTTCTCTCCAGAATTTATCATATATATCTATATGTCTACCATTTGAACATACTTTGAATATTTTTGTCACATATGGTCTGGTGTTCCTGCTTATATTTAAAGACTCTTGATAAAATCCACAGAAGAATCTGCAATCTTACTGGCATCCCGGCTTTAGTCACTTTCCTACTGCCATAATGTAGCTCCCCTGTGCCTTTTCTATAAATGCATTCATGGTAATTGATCTGATAGTACCTACACTCTATGAGTTTAAGTGCAACAATAATATAGTTTTGATGTATGCTATATATATATATAGTTTTGATGTGTGTAAATATAAAAGTAAACACTGTGGCCAAAATTGAACAGTTTAGTTTTAACCTCAGTATAAAGTATATATATGTATATATATATATATATATATATATATATATATATATATATATCAGTATGAAAATAACGTCAGTTCTTGTCACGTGTGGAGAATATTGTCATCATAGCTGTGTTGATGGTTTCAACCATTTTCTTTTGATTTTATGATATTGTTGGGTATGTTTGTTTGGGAGAGCAGTAATTTTGTTAAGAAAGGTGAAATAGGGAAAAAGCCTTGGCATAGATTAATATTTGGGTAATATTCTATGGCGGCACTCTCTAGAATTTTCCTTCTGAGTGAGTTATTTTCTTCATTTATGAGTGTAGCATTTTTAAAATCAAAATTTATTTCTATGTATGACTAGTGCACTAGTCATACATAGAAATAAATTCAACCATAATTTCTGACGTTATTTCAGTTAACAATATGAAAATAGCATTCTCTAAATTCCTCCAGTTGCTAAGAACATTCTGTTTTTTGTTATTATTAGTTACTTTCTTTAATTAAATTCATTTTGTTTTTTTCTTTGTGAAAGTCGACACTGGACGAAACGCATCAACAGTAACTACAGTTTTCCTATTGCCATTTATATTTATAAATATTGTCTTTTCTACAGGTTAACTCTGACAAATTTTCATATATATATATATATATATATATATATATATATATATAGGAAGAGGTTATAGTAGTTCCAATGAGAGAAAAGTGTGTATATTAAAAAGAAGAGAGAAACTGCAAACGTTTTTGGTTGTAATGTGGATTTTTTAAAATATATATTATGCTTTATCTTCCATAATTTTGCTACACATGTTTCCAATCTCACAACCTTCATCAAGCAAAGAGTGAATATTTCCACATATTATTAAAAGCAATTAATTTTTCTTATGTTTTTCGATGTTAAATATCTTGATATTAGACATTCCCTTTTTTATTAGTGAACCAAATGTCGGTTGAGTTTCAATCCCAGCTTGAAGCAATCGTGTGTCTAGCTACACTGAGGAGCTGCAATACAGTGAAACAGATTGTCTGTGGATGACACACACACACACACATACATTATATATATATATATATATATATATATATATATTAAAAAGAAAAAAGAAACCACAAACGTTTTTGGTTGTAATATGGATTTTTTAAAAATATATTAAGCTTTATTTTCCATAATTTTGTTACAGTTCAAAGAATGAACTGTAGCAAAATTATGGAAAATAAAGCATAATATATTTTTTTTAAAAATCCATATTTTTTCAAACTTTAAATTCTCAAAGCACACTATAAAAAAGCCAAAATGAACACTAAATAAAATCAATTATAAGAATAGCAACAATGTTTTAAAATGTCTATAAAAGAATTTTTTAAGATGCTCAAATTGTAAAAAAAATTTTTGAAAGAATTGCAGATTGAGTATTTTAAAAAATTAACAATAAAAAATTTACACTAAGTTACCCACCTTACATATTCTTAATGTAAATTGACTATAATGTATTTCATAGACATTTACGAAAA